TGTGTGTGTGTGTGTGTGTGTGTGTGTGTGTGTGTGTGTGTGTGTGTGTGTGTGTGTGTGTGTGGGCATTATAGGACTTCAGCTGCCTTTTAGTGCCTCTTAACCCACTTACAAGAAGAGAACCGTTTGGTGGGAAGTCCCTGAGTCGATGCTAATCACAGGGATGCATTTTGGACTTCTACCCATCTCGCCCTCCTCTCCAAATGCTTTTTCCAGTTTCCACTTTTCTAACACTTCTCGGCCCTTTCATACGGCCTCTTTTTGTAACACTTCCCTTCCTCTCTGTCTGTAGCTTTTTATTCCTAAATCTGAACCCCCTTGTCTCCCTCTTACCCTAATGCCACCCTCTCTCTTTCACTCCTCTCCTAAACTCCTCCTCTACCCCTCCTTCATTCCACTTCACTGCATTCTGGTTTTACCCCTGCCATTATGCCTTTCCTCCTACTCCTCCTCTCACTATGAGCTCTAATTCTGTCCATCTTTCCTCTCCTCCTGTAGAACAGGAGCTCCCCGCTCTTTATATTGACAGTGAAGGATTCTCTCAGTCCGTCTTACACTTTCTGTCCGAGTCGTTTGCTCCCACACTCACAGCTCCAGCTCATGTGAAAGGATTTGGGACTCAGTTGAATTGTGGCACAGTTTCATCTTGATGCGTTCTCATAACTGATCAGAGGATAATTAATTATTTTCATGCGCACACAGTCACAACGGACTCTAAAATGTTGTCCTTTAAAAACTGTGTTTTGTTTTTTGATACAAATGTTGGACATACGAGGGCGTCCAGCTATGTTTTGGCAAACATAAATATTTCAGTTCACTTAGTGCTCCTGCTGAYGTGACAGTTCTCCTGTAGCTGTAGCGCTGTTGTGTTTTTATATATTGCAAATGTGTGAAATCTCCGAGACACTGGAGAGTTTGCCTGAAATATTACCACCGGTGTCACTGGTTTAAAAAAAAAAAGTTCTCTTTCTCAAACTAGCCTCTAAATTCAAGTTCTGAGTCACACGAAACCTGCTGTCACAAGCCGCGCCGTCACCCCGCCTCCTCGAACGACAGTAAAACGCTGACTCCGTCCCTCACCCATGACGTTGGTGCTGAAGGAAACGGTCTCCCTCTCACGACCGTCGTTGTAGAAGGCCAGGTGCCAGGCACCAGCGTCCAGGTACTGGACAAACACCGCCTCATTGAGGACCACGGTCTGGATGCTCCTCCTCTCCCGCGGAGACTCCACCACGCTCCACTTCTCCTTCCCATCGAGGCGCTCCATGTAATCATACTGAGGAGGAAGTCGGAGGCAAACTTTAGTTCAGGCAATAATGCAGAATTGAAATCTAGCATTTGATTTAAGGTAGTGATTTCTTTAAACTTGTAATTGTTCTCATATAATTTTATTGTCGTTGTAATAAATGTTTAAAAAAACATGTCATGCTTATTCATTATACTCAAAAACAACCAAAACTCTRTGAGTATGGTTCTGTGGTAAGTTTACGAGCGACTATTATCTTACCTGTTGTTGATAACGCATTAAAAACCCCATTTTGTGGAAATAAAGTTTAAATCAGACCAGATTACTTACCAGCTCAAAGAGTATTAGAGCATCTGCTGCTGCTATGTGTTTGAGCTCATGYCCATAAACATAAATGCAAAAAGGCAAACTATTCAAAACTGATGTAAAAGGTCACGTTTTGTTTGATTCAAATGCCCTTGATCGTATGGCTTTAAATAGATGTTTTCATCCATAACATAAACAAATTGTGTTTAGTTTTGCTAAGTGCTTTTTTGTTTGTKGTAAAATGTAAAAAGTACCTTACCATATGAAATTTAAACATTAAGCTTTTTTGAAACTTAAGAATTTAGGTACTTTAAAATGGATAAACTGTGTATAAATAGTGTCAACATAATCTTCTTGAATCTACTGATCTTAACAATTGTTTATTCTCAGCTAAAATGAATTAGTTGAGCTGATCCTAAATCACTAGTTTAATTATCCAAACATTTCATCTATTATTTACTGATGTATCTAACTTGTTTAGTGTAAAGTCAAATAAACTTACATGTATGAAGAAAATGTATGAATTTGTCAAAATGAGCTAGTTTTGACATGCACATTAAAAATGAATCCAATTTTTTTTAGCAAACAAAGAATTGATTCAGTTTGAAAAGATTATTTTGACCAAGCTCAAGTGTCTTAAAGTAAACA